GCAGTAGCAGTAGCAGTAGCATTAATAGTAGTAGTAGTAGTAGTAGTAGTAGTATTAGTAGTAGTAGTAGTAGTAGTAGTAGCAGTCATAGTAGTGGTAGTAGTAGTAGTAGTAGTAGTGGTGGTAGTAGTAGTAGTAGTAGCAGTATTAGTAGCAGCAGCAGCAGCAGCAGTAGCAGCAGCAGGAGCAGGAGTAGTAGTGGTAGTGGTAGTTGTAGTCTTAATTGTAGTCGTAGTCGTAGTGGAAGTAGTGGCGGTAGTAGTAGTAGTAGTAGTAGTACGTGCTAAGTACTGAGCAGCAAGTAGCAAGAAGTCACTAGTATCTGGTAGCTAGTCACTATAGTATCTAGTGACTAGTATGTTATGTATTATTACTATTGCTGTAGTAGTCGTCGTCGTAGTAGCAGCAGTAGCAGTAGCATCGGGAGTTGTTGCTGCTGTTGTTGTTGTTGTTGGCGCTGCTGTTGCACGTTTCCCCCAGCAGCACACATTGGAAGAAGGTCGAAACACCACCTTTGCAACGGAAGCTCAATAGCGAACGTGAGTGCATGCGTTTGCACTTCGTTAATGGGTTTCACATCCTAGGCGCTTGGGCTGAGCATGTAATCTCCATGTCCTGCCAGCTGCAAGAAGATGTGGCACCGATGAGACAAATTTAGCGTTGGTACCATCTTTCAATGGTTAAAAGCTTGCGTACTGCCAGCTGCCGAAACCCCTCAGACCCCTTCAGGAACATATATCACCCTGCTTTCTGTCAGGTGTGCGTTCTCAAAACGCTAAAGCCAGTTAAGCGCATGAGCCCGCAACCCTCAACATGCCGCCTGAAATACATCCCAAGCTTGCAATCCTACTCCGTGTGGCCCAGGCCCTGTGTGTTGAAGGAGCATATCGGGTCACAGGGTCCATACTGAACTTCTACCGTGGATAGCTCGCTTAGAGCTATCAAGCGAGTTTTCACCAGAAAGAAGTACGGGTTCGGTTTTCACTGCACCTTTGCTCCAGAATGGGTCTGTGCAGCACATTGCAGACTAAATTGCAGTTGGAGTATGTAGACATCTTAAGCACCTTAGTTCTGATGAAGTTTTCATCAACTGCTGTGAGGGTGTTCTTGGCGCATGTGCCATCCTCCATGATGCGGATCATTTGCCCGAATTGTGGCGAGGAGCCACAGAAGGGCGACTGGGCTGGATCCTTCTTCTGGAGCTCTTGCAATGGTCTTGAATTTTGGTTTTGCTGTTGTTGTGTGCATATGTATAAGCCTTGCTGCTGCTACTAGGGCCTTATAAAGTGAGTGCCAGACCAGTACTTTCACGAACTGATAACTGTGTGAGCGTCACCCACGACTAGTCTTATGAGTGACCCCAGTCTGATTCCTATGCTAGCAAGTTAAGCTTGATCACAAGTTGAGATGGTTGTAGTCTTTCGGTAAATAGTGATGAGGATGGTGATGATGATGATGAGGAGGACGAGGAGGAGCGGAGGAACGTGAATAGGGGGATGACGAACATGAAGAAGACGAAGAGGAGGATGAGGATGATGAAGTTGATGAAACATGGTGATGGAATTGTTTAGGAGGATGATGAGGGTGATGAGGAAGATGATGACGATAAAGATCAAGATGGGGATGAAGACCATGATGACCAAGACCGCGACGATGATGATGATGATGATGATGATGGTGATGACGACGATTCAACCAGGTCAGCGGCATGTCTGCAAGACAGACGATGCAAGCTTGGGATTGGAGGCCTCCGGCGATGGCCCCGTCGGGCCTCTGCTGCAGAGGAGCTTTGCCCAACGTCACATCTGCATGCTGACAATCCTTACCGTCAGCGCTACATCCACAACCCAATCCTTATGCTCTAGATCCGGAGCCCCGGCCCAAAATCCAGCTCCGCCTGAGCCAGCACAGTGCAGGAGCCATGTGGCGGCAAAGAGCCAGCGACGGACGGTTCCCTGTGCGACAGCCAGCTCCATGTGTGCTTCCATCGCGTCGCTGGCATCGAAAAATCCAGGGCTCTGGAAGTCCAGCCGGACGCTGGCCAGGTGCGGGGAATTCAGCTGTCAACGGACAGCACCACCACCGTCACAACTTCTACCTGTGTAGTCGTCATCACGATCGCACTCGCACCACCAGCAGCAGCACCACACTCACCGTCGTGGTCGTCATTATCAAGATTAATTACGTAGGCAGCAAAGTGCGAGCTTCGGTAGCTTCGTCAGTTGCGGTCCCCAGATGTGGTGGTGAAGACTTCGTGGCGGCCCTCATTTTCACAGCGGCGGGGCTGCCGACCTGGAGCCGCGATCCCAAGCGCACGTTGCTCGCTGCTTTGTGTGGGAATGTGGCCCATGAGGCCCACACCGTAAGATATAGTACAGTTTAATTGCGCGGTATAGCATACTAAAGCCTAGTATGGTTTTGTTTAGTTCAGTTTAGCATGGAATAGTATAGCATATCATCGTGTAGAACAACAATTACAGATTTGTTTCATGTTCTGCTCTTTTGTGTATTCTATTTCAAACTCACTCACATGTCTTGGTTAGGCCCCGCCCTGAGAGGCCGCTAAAGCGCTGCAGAACTTCTGGCGCCAAAGCCGCCGGTGCACTGTTTCTGTCTACCAGCCGCGACCCCCCAAAGAGCCGGCAAACGGCTGCTTTGCTTCATTCGCCGCCGAATCGTGCTTTCTTGACAACATTGGTTTGAAGTATCGCCTCCAACCATCTTGGAACTGGTGAGGAGGGGGATTCTGACTGCTGTTGAGTCTCCGCTGCCGCTGCAAGTACCTAAGAATCTGCTCGAATGTGCTGCAGCAGAAAGCTCTTTCTGCTTGCAGTCTAGACCCTTTGCAACGAGCTCCAAACGGCAAAAAACCGTTGTATGCATGTCTCATAAAAGTATTGAGAGAACCTCATGAGCCCCCCATTCAGAAACAGCGCACGAGCCTTGTTGTTGAAGGACTGGGTGTGCCTGGTTTTGTCGGCACACTTGACAAGTAAGAAGCAGCTACACCGGTCAACAGGCTTGTGTTGGCACCGGCGACGAATTATCTGCAGATTTTGCGTTCTTCGCCACGTGGAGCTCCTCCTGCTGGCTACTGCTACTGCTGTTGCTGATGTTCTCATTATTGTCGTCCCCACTGCTGCAGTCGTCATCTGCCCCCTGGAGTTTGCCACTTCTCCCTCATCATTGTCTTGGTTCGCACCACCGCCATAGTCGTCATCATCATCACCATTGAATCACCATCATCGAGCTGAGGCTGCAGCGCTTACCGCGTGGACAAGGCCTCCACGCACCACGGGAGCTTCCCCACTCCCAAGGCCTCGCCGAAGGTTTATTTCCAGGCCGGCAACGCAAAAGCTTCCGTTTCGGGTTCCACATGTCTTTACGATATGTCTTCGCGTTTACGGCTTAATGTGCTTACAGCGGATTTGCTCGGGCAGGGCTTGCTTGGAGTTGGATCCTGGAAACCTTGTGACCAAAATGCAGCTTAGAGGTTGAAGCCTGACATCCCTTAGCCCGAAGCCTGGCTTTGCAATAACCGACTCCCAGAAGATCGGAGATCCCATGCTCTGAGACTCCTACACCTCCCCTATCGCTTCAGGAACCCAGAGGGCTCACGTACGTGTAGGAGGCAGAGGAAGGGCCCTTTTCCCTGAAGGAGGGCGAGGCGCGCCGCGGATGGGCGCAACAAAGCGTTGGCAGTGCCCCTGGGTTGCATAGGTTCAACGCTTCAAGTAGATCCGTCTACTTTCCGACCAGTTAGGATTCAGGAATGTTGGGCATGTCGGGCCACAGTCTCTGCAGCCTCGGCCAACCCAAGTTGAAGTGGCTCCAACCTTCTTGGCGAAAGGCGGAGCAATGCCCGTCTGCTCTCGAATTTCCCGCTTTTTTGAAAGCTGTACCCGGTCGGGGAATCACGATTGCATGTTGGAAACGACTTGATCTCGCACCACAACCAGAAACCGGCTGTCGCAAGCCACACGCCCATTGAGATGATAGGGCGGAATCAAATCTAGCCAATCGTGTCAAGTCGAGAAGCACGTAAAACACAAATGGCATGCATATCCGATTCAAAAGACATCGTGATCAGCAAAAGACTCAACCTGCCAGCCGTTTCTCGTGCCAGCGAGGAAGATTCAAACCAGCTGCTTACACAAACAACTTTACGAGCACAGACCAAGGCGTATGCGTGTGTATGACTGTAAAATACGTAGATGTACGTTGTTTGTATGTATTAACGTATGCATGTCTGTATGTATGTATGTATGTATGTCTGTATATCTCTATGTCTGTGTGTCTGTATGTCTGTCTGTCTGTCTGTCTGTCTGTCTGTCTGTCTGTCTGTCTGTCTGTCTGTCTGTCTGTATGTATGTATGTGTGTGTGTGTATGTATGTATGTATGTATGTATGTATGTATGTATGTATGAACGAGGAGTGAATGTATGTATGAATGAAAGTATGCACGTATTGCATATATGTATGTATATATGTATGGTGATTCTGCCTGTCTCTGTCATTGTCTGTGCGTGCGTGTGTGTGTGTGTATGTGTGTGTGTGTGTTTGTGTGTCTGTCTGTGTTTGTCTGTCTGTCGGTCTGTCTGTCTATGAGCATGTGTGCAAGCATGCATGCATGCATGCATGCACGCATGGCTGTATGCATGTATGTGCGTACGCGAGGAAAGTAAAAGGTAATGTGACGTAATCCTGTCTGTATGCATGTACGTATGTATGTTATCTGTTTATGTATGTATATAGTTATGTACTTATGTACGGGTATGTGTATTCGTGTATTTGTGCGTGTCCAGGTATGCCTCTATGTAAGCATCTACATATTATGTTATTCTCATAGCGCAGATACTAACAGCATTGTGGAATGGTAACCAGTGTTGCAGCTGTATGTCTTCATCTTGGTGCCGGGTGGACTACTGCAGAAAATGCTCCAGCAGGTAGAGCCACAAGTTTTGCTTCAGCTGTGTGGCAACTGCAGGAGAATGACATGGTATTTTTGTTAGGCGAACGAGTCTTCAGCAATAGAACACTTCGAGAGTTCTATCTTGCATAGCATTGCCCAAGCAACACCGTGGCGTATGACCGGACAGTCGAAAGATGACATCACTAGCCTAGCAGCATGCGTACGGCTGAATTGTCGTTTCGACAAGACCTCATACAATGTATATACTCGAACTCGATGTGGTACGCAATCTGTCCGTCATCATGCACGTGCATTCTTGTTCTCGGGGCCACATGTAGTCATTGTAATCATTCAGACAGTTCGTGGCTTTACCACCGGCACGCAAGAGCCTTTTCACCTCACATTCTCAAAGGCAACCATATACATCCACAGAGATACAGCTCAAAACAGCTCAAGTTGTTGATAAATATGGAGCCGATCAGGCAGGATCTGCTGAACAAGCATCCATCAAAACACACTGGAATATGCTGTTGAGAGTGTTAATAGCAGGACACATGCGAAAGTCCGGAACCGCCAATGGTTTGCGGAGATGTGCACAACACATATCAACGTGTGTGATGCCGCAGAACTAGGAGCACGCACTACAGCGCAAGCGCTGCTTAAGA